CCCCAAAACCCCAAAACCCCAAAACCCCATAAGAGTGACATATAGATTGCTAGATTGAATCTTATAGATTTGAAATAGAAATTGGTAAAGATGCATGAGTACATAGTTTGATCATGCAACGTAGTCAGGTTGAGACTTTAAATCACCTGCAATAAATTCTGGTAACCCAGTCAAACTATCTCTAATTTCTTTGATATTTGGAAAAGTAGCTAAATCAACACCAAATCTTTCAGCTGCAAAGCATTAAGGAATTAAGCAAACATCAGCAATTGATACTTCATCTCCAATACAATATTTCCCTCTAGTTTCTTTGATGATTTCTTCAAAGGCTATAGTATATTTAATAAAGTTATAAGTAATTACCATTCATTCCTTTCTTGATGAAATGCTAAGCCCATTCTTTTCTATCACCCTTAAGTTCATCCTCAATCTTATTTAGTACTTCGAGATTTTAAAGTGGTTAAATTCCAGAATTTATTATCTCAGTTAGCTATCTTGCCTTAGCTCTAAGATATGGATCTGATGGGAAAACTTTACGAGTATCTGGTCTTGTCTCTTCCAAGTATTCAATGATTGCAATACTTTCTCCTAAACACTTTCCATCAATGAACAGAGCTGGAACTCTCTATATATAAATTGATGATAAATATTTCCCCATTATTTAAGATTTTTAGTTCATTAAAATGATTCTTAAATTTGCCATCTCACTTACATTCATTGGATTCATCTTGGCATAGTCTTCAGAATACTGTTAAGCTCCTCCATCCTTGGTAATATTTACAGCTTGATATGTAAATTCAATACCTTTTAATGCAAGTACTAGCCTAACTCTCCATGAGGCAGAAGATCTAAAATATGAAAATAATGTTGGTTTAGTAGATAAAACCTTGGATGCAACTTCTTCCATTCTGTTAAAAATTTATATTTCACTAAATCTTAATCTTCTCTTATATTTTTTGGATACATCGTGGGGTTTTGGGGTTTTGGAACTTTAGGAGGTTCTCTGCATC